TTTATTTCAAATTTAAGATATTTTGAACAAAAATCCAAAATTGAAATTTTCTGAAGCTGCCCCACTATAAAAAGGGGAACGAGTCAAGAAATACTGTAAAGTATCTCCAGTCAATGGAAAGTAAGTCTGTAACAATAAAAGTCACTCTTATTTGCATGATATAAATATAACAACCAAGTTTATAATCCGACTATAGTAAATTTTAGATTTCTGATATCACTGCAGCATCCTGTCATAACGGGCGCCGGTTATACGGTATGAAATCGTGAATTCTCGAAGGTGAGATTTTTAACTTCTTTAATTGCATTAATTAATTCATGAACTACGATTGATTGAATTTCTCATTGGCTTCACTCAAGTTATAAAAAATGTGTAGTACTAAAATGTTTTGAGAAGACCTCTTATTCAAAGAACCTACACGGTCTACTTAAGGAACGTACGAAATCGAAAGTAAGCATGTTAATTAGCATATTCTAATATTTCTGTTCACTGCTGACACCTTTTAAGTGTTAAACTACCATAGCAATTAGCGCCCGTACTTAGAAACGCATATTGGCATTTACCATCTAATTTGTATGTGTTTAATTAGTAACCTATCGGTCATTTATCAGTATATTGCGTTTCGATTAGCCTTGATAAAAACAGCTGATAACCAATTAAGTGTTTTATTATCAATTTGGAAAAAAGTTGTCAAAATAATAAACTATTTCAATGAAGCTGGTGCTATCATTTCTCTTCAGTCTATACAAATACCTGAGAATACGTGTATATCCATTTTCTATTTGATAAATGCATGATCACAGGTCTTTTGTATTCAAGAATATAATCAATTTACAACTGTACTCTATGACGCACTAACGCTGTATGTTATTGTCCTTTCAAGCAAAAATGTTTTCTGATCATGTCAATCTTTGATTTTTGTCGTGATTGAAGTACCTTTTTATGTAGGTATGAACCATTAAATACTGTGCAAATTTTCAGGTAATTCCCCGACCCTGTTTGTCGAGAATAATCATTTTATGGTACAAAAATGACATAATAAAAGAAAAATACTGCAACGCTGTTACTCGAATCGGGCTAAGAATTGCACGAACCACCTGTTTCCAAATTAGAAATATATTTATTACATTGTATCTATCCTTTGCAGTATTTCCATTTTGAGTGCTTCACTTTATCTATGTAAAACATTCATATTTTATTTCTTTGACCTTTTTTACTTCAAAGGAGCTCCTTCAAAGCATCAGCAGCAGCGTCAATATTCCTAATCATAACCCAAAGACTCGTTAACTTTTTCTATCCCCTTTACTTTTGTATTGTTATCATATCAAGAACATATTGCCATTGGGCAAAACTTTCAAAATATCTAGTTGTTGTGAATAATCGCTTATATATTTTCATGCTTCGCGTACTTTGATGTAAAATGTTTGGTCGCGACACCTGACGGATGAGTGTGGCGTCGTTACCATAAATACCATAGATAAAACATGGCGACAAGGGGCCCTATCACTCATACGAACCGCTTTTTGCGACTGTTAAACGTTATTGCATGGTTGTCCATATACAATGTATTTTGAGATGACGTCATTTGCGCAAAGACGCAGTAAATGTAAGCGACACACTATATGCGCGTGGTAAATGTTACCTATATACTTTATGCGCGTCCATGGAAAGGCGAATCTGTTTAAAGGCTAGCATAACATGATTAAGTTCAACTCAATAAATAAAGTTATGCATTTATACATTCAAATTCAATATCCTCTATATATGTTAGCGTTACACTACAGGCGCGTCAATGAAAAAAAAAAGAAAATTATTTGCACTTTAAATATTTCTATTCTATTCGTGAAGGGTTACTTCTTAGTTTATTGAACTCGATAAATAAGATGATATAACGCTCAACAGTGGTTTATATACTATTTTAGTTGTTTCAACTCACTCAATGAATTCGGTTTTGAACCTACCTACTGTCATTCAATTTATAGAGAATATCGAATAAGTGTAGTTTTGAGCACAGTTGGCAATACCGTTTTTACGAAGTCGCAAAAGCGGCACAGGAATGAGATATGTACTCTATTTCAGTGGGTGAAAGTGTGCTGGTTATTTTTTTTTTTGACAAATAATACCAGTGACTAAAAAAATAGACAGTGTTTCTATCTTGAATTCATTATTCACACATGATTGGTGAAAAAAAAAACGAATCGGTATAATGTTAAAAAAATATGATAGCTGTTATTTAGTGTGGAGTGCCTTCCAATATCCTGACAAGCAGATTTTGACAAAGAAAGATAAATATTAGCGGACTACTATATATTACATTCAACCATGATCACTGCCCTTTGATATGATATGACATGAATAAGAGCCTTTGTATTTAAGATGAACTATGAGAGTTCAAGTTCATTACTAACAAATCAATATCCAGACGAAATGAATAAGACCACCATGTGTCTGCCTTTGAAATACTTATATATTTCTACTGATTCATCCGCTTTTATAAACGAAACAGTTCATATGATTTCACCTGCAAGACTTTCACGACAACACAAATTTATGTTGAATTTTATGGTTTAGTTTGTTTTCATTTCATTGCTTTCTTTATATGGAAATTAGAAATATAGAAATGTGAATCATTTCCTCCAAAGTTCATTGGATGTTTATTTCGTTAACATAAAACGCGGGAGATTATTTACATGCTTAAAAACTACCCACTTTAATTACCTTATTAAAACACACCTAACCTTATAAAAGTTAAAATACAAAGGAAAGGCGAGAGTGTGAGTTCCTTTATATTGTCGTCTTATAATTTAAATATAAATTATACCAGGATATGACCGTATTGATATGGGGACATTATCCGCTCATAATTACGATGTTATATCATTACTTATACAAGTTGGTGTCGTCAATAGCAATTTGTTTATCATCAATTCGTGTTCTACTTTCAGTATATATCTAGGATTTAAAATAAAACTACTGTATCTTAAATCGCAGGTATTAATAGAAACTTATTTTTTTCAACTGCATGTAATATTACTATATAAGTCTCTTTGTTACTATTTTATATGATATTTATGATACATGTATTTATAAGAAGAACAGACTAAGCTCATTTTTATTACTGTTTATTATGTTTCAAAGAAAACACATTACATATTCTTATCTCTAGAAAGTCTACCAAAGTTCATGATTAATAATGTCTTTTATCCGCCCATTTATCTATGGCATACAATTTTGTAAAATCCAATTAACCGTTGAAAAGTGTATAAGAAAATATCTGCGTATCAGATTTCTACTACCTTATAGTAAATTGCTGCATTTCATGCTTGGACGTCCTTTGATGCTTTGCCTCAATGTCTTTCCTGTTGTAATATGTATACATTCATAAAAAATGTCATTTGAGAAATGCAAATCTGAACACTTCTTTGATTTAAATAGAACATCATTTGTAGTGTTTAAAGAAGTATTTAGAAATGATTACAGAAAGCAGCATAAAAGAATCATTGAAGATGGTCGTGTGACGAAATATCGGACAATTGGTTAAGTTTATTATAAAAAATTACACGTATAAAAGTACAATGGGTCTATTTACAAATGAATAGAACACGACGATGCAAAATATTAGAACAAGTTTTTTTTTCACAATATCTTATCATTTCAGTTTTAGTAAACAATTTTCAATCTGTTTTACAGATTTGGACATCTATGTTATGATTACTTATCTGCAAGTAATATAATAGACGATTGTTGCAATCAACTTTTACTTATCAAGCATATGCATTTTCAAATGACTTTAAAGGTCATTTTGCGAGAAGAACAATGTAATGCATTTAATTATATTGTTTTTATCATTCATTTAACAATCTGTCTAAGATACTGTAAGAAATAACATACATTAGCTGCTTGATTTTCTAAACTGTAAACGCTTCTTTGATGCACACTGATCCTTGCTATCATTTGTAAAAAAAACCGATAAAAAACAAACAAGCAAACATGTTCATTGATAGTTATGCAATAAGTCCATTAATCATAAGTTATATATTAGTGCAATTATTTTGTAATTTTTTTTGTACACAGTCATATACTAAAATAGACGTTTCGCATTCTAAAATTGCTCTGTCACGGTGCAATGTCAATGTTATCGAATGAGCTAGAAAATGGCACTTTCAGATAAAATTAGGGCAACATGTGACAATTGAGCTATTTGACATCTTGTGACCTTTATGATTAAGTAAATAAAAACGGTATACCAAACGCTTCACTAACATTCCTTTTGTGCTAGGAAAAAACAATGATACGTGCATTTTGTACTGACATATTTTTAAAGTTGTAGAGGAAGGACAAATCTGGATTACTCAAACTTGCATGATTTTAGTTTAAATTAGAGGCCCATCTTTGGGTTCTATTTTGAATGAGCTAATCTTAATGTATATTCAATAGAGTTATAAAAGTGGTTTTACTATTATCAAATCTCAAAGTCTGTCATGATATAAACACTCTGTATGATCAAAAGTTATCAAATAATAATTACAACACTTTTTAATTAACATCTTACCTTTCGATTTTATGCTGCATATTGAGATTGTACATGTACTTAAATCGAATCTTCTTGCATCGTGAAAAAGGGTGAATGATGTCATTTGATGTACGATACAGATTGTGACTGATCATGGCAATCGACTCATGTACCTTTTTACCTGCATAAACATCTAGAAAAGCATTAATAATGAAAATAATGACGGTGGCGGCGGCGACGCAGACTCGAGGCTGAGTGGGTTAAGACAAACACTTATTTTTCAATTAATCATTGAATTTCACGGAAACACGTGCCTTTACACTCACCCAAAACGTAGCTAGTAACTTACAGTAACTGCTCGGATCATAGGCTCTGTATAATTTATCTTTATTTTATTTGCCTTTAAAAAGTACATATTTTTAACTTTTCTACTATTTACTCGACGGACCTCTGATAACGGATAGGATAAATAGGGGCTTCTTTTTGCAAATACCGCAATAACAATATTGTTAAGACTTGAGGATGAAATTAGAAATTGTCGTGATAAGTTTCCTTGCCGTTTTACAAACGGTTTTAAGTTCTGAATTAGCCGGAGTTAAAACATCCGAAAACTTCGCCCATTCTACACTTTTAGATACAGATGGGAATTATATTCTCTTTTGGAACTTTAACGATACACATGTGACTTTTGAAGTCCATGTACGAACAAAAGGTTTGTATGTTTGATTTTTTACAATATACGAATATAAATTATATCTATACATGTCTACAAAGTTTTGAATGTGATTAAGATAAAGGTATAGTAGAACTGAACATTCAGTATAGTCTATCTTGATCAAAGTTTAACTACCCTGGAGTTCATTGCGTGTAAAGAAAAGAAAAACAATAGCATGACCGTGGTTCAGCTCGAATCCGAGAATTCAAAATTAAAATGTCGAAATCTTAAATTATTGGCCAATCCTCTATGTTTGTCAATAATTTATTGAACTTTTCAACCCTGAAAAATAGATGGTAAAATGGTCAAAGAACCGGGGTTGTTTGTCAGTGATAAACCAAATATTCCTTGTATCACTAATCATGATAATCATAATCACGAGACTGTTTTCAAGAAAATATTTTGGCGAATGATTATGATATTCGATATCAGTATTAATTTGATTTGGCAAGTTAAATTATTTACTGCTTCATAAAAAGCACATATAAATATATAAATGGAAAGAACAATAGTTAACACATGCAGTTCGATTGTTTATTAAAAATCGAGTTGCAAGCAAATTACGTTTATTGTTGGTACATGTGATTTCTTTTCTTCTACACAACGATTTAATTAAAACTTCTTGATCTGTAATAAACCAATGAACTCATAAAGATAAAATGTTTCAGTATGTCTTTCGTAGGTAAAACTACAGTGTACTTTAGTGTCTGCAAACTTTTACTGTTACATATATAAAACATTTTTTATTTTCTTTCATTTAAAAGGATGGGTAGGCTTTGGATTGTCTGGCAACGGAAACATGTTTCCTGGTGATGTTGTTGTTGGGTGGATCAAAGATGGATCTATCCACTTTTCTGTAAGTCATATTAGAAATTTGTGAGATACACTGTCTACCACTAAAATGTTTAAGATGTTTCCGAAAGCAGAACAGAATGAAAGTTTTAAAAATTATTCGAGCAACATCTTAAATGCTCGCACTCTTGATTAATGATAATGAAAAGTTTCTTTTTATAAAAGCTTCATTTCGTTGAATTCATTATCTCGACGTCACGCAAACAGGAATAACTGACGTCATTTTAATCTGAATAAAGACGTCTTACTAATATTGCATATTTTATAATAGTTATCTCGAACGCTTTTTTTCAAAACATTAGGGTTAATGTCTCCCTAAGAAGATTCAACAGTGATCAATAAATAATACAGTAACATAAAGTGTAGAATAATTTTTATGATTACACGAGTCCATTCTGATGTGCTACACCTTTCAAACAATTCAATCATTATTTTCAATTATTCATAGGACCGTCATACATCCGGGCACAAAATGCCTGTTATGGACAAGAAACAAGACTGGAAATTATTGTATGGTGAGGAAAACGAGTTCGGAACCGTGCTGAAATTTGTCAGAAAGATAAACACTTGTGATGACGTTGAAGATGAGGTCATCCAGGTAAAACAATAATTAAACATTAATGCGTAACAGATCTAGGTGAGTCAAATTAAAGTTTCAAAAATTAATAAATGAATGGAGTGATTAATGGATTGACGGACGACGAACGACAAACGAATGAACAAACAAACGAATGTCTAAGTATTGAGCATGTTAAATAGACAAAAGGATTTCTATATGATATAAAACCAAGTTTTGTTCATATTTAGATGAAACCAAAATACTATATAATGAATTAAAATATATGAAGTTAAGAACGAAAAAAAAAATAGATAAATGTTCCTTGACACATTTGGATAACGTAAATTAAAAAAGAAACAAATATGATAACCTTAAGTATTCGTAAACGCACAACCATGTGTCTGACATTTAAGTAACTATATAAAAATTCTGTTTCCTCTTATCGCAAGGTACAAGTTAAAGTATAGGCTCATAAGTGATCGGAAGTAACATGTGATCGCAAGATACTTTGTCACAAGACAGGGTAAACTGCTTTTGTTTATCTACTTTGACAATGTGTCAAATCTAAAAATAGATTCAATCACTCATTATTTGTTTAATCCTAAACCTACTGAATTTCTAAAATGAACTCGTCCAGCTTCCTTTTCTGGGACAAACAATTATATTTTTGTATTAACTATCCCAAAATTTAATGAGAGTCAGTCAGAAGTATAGCGTCTGTATGATGTCTAGGCTTGCATTGCTCTACACTGTAGTAAAGACTAAAACATGTAACTTTAGGTTTAAGTTTATAAAGCAATATACCGGCTGCAAAAATATTATTTGAATAAAGATATAAAAAAGGATATTTCAAAACGCTTGTATGAAGAAATATTGAAGAATGTTGTCTCAAAAGCGAATGGCTCATTCACGAAATCATTGCTAAACGGTTAAGCAGCATAATATTTTTTTCGGAACCATTTGTTTTGTACTATGTAAAATATTTATATGTGTTGAACAACAAAGACATTTCATGCTACAGCTATTTCGAGAGTCGACCATAAGCAATATAATTTACTGTCAATAAATCTGATAGAAAAAAATAGTTCGTATTATATAACTTTATACCTTTTAAGGGTAAGTCGACCGAAATCAGATCACTGTACATACTCGCATTTTGTTTCTCTTTTCGTTACGCGCCAGCGATTTAAAGGACAACAGACAAAATTTAATAACATTTTTTAAAACATTGTTTTCCCTATTTTTAAGTTAACGCTGCATGCCTTCAGATGAGCCAAAATATAACAAGAAAATCAAACTTTAGAGATATGTACTAATATTTTTTTTAAATGTACAGGAAGTCAAGAGTCAAGTGATAATTTGCATGTTATACATGTTAAATGATTCATATTTGAAGTAATCATCGCCTTAATTCTACAGCGTGACCAACGCATTAAGCGATTTTGTTGTTGTTTTTTTTTCTTCAAATTTTGACCACTTTTTGGTTATTTAGATTACTTTGTTTTTTCCTCATTTTGTCACTTTACAAAATTTCACTTTACAATATTTCACTTTTAAATACATCTGCAGACTTTCCATTAAAAACATGAATCTGGAGTCATGCTGCTTTCATAATAACTACATGTATCATATTATTTTATTTTTCTCTTATTTACTAGGAAGGAACTAATCGTATTATATTTGCGTATAACGATAACGATCCTACCGATGACAACTCGATCATGTATCATGGAACCACGCGGGGTACCAAGAGCGTGGCTTTACTCAGCCCGAACCCAGTAAATGGCAACTTGCCAGCAGACAGCCGACATTTCGACTTCCTTAACCAAAATGTGAGTCTCGTATAAAATCTAGTGACAATAGGAAAAAATAATAGGTTATACATTATTGTTAGTTCCGCTGTATATTTGTTATAAAAAAATATTTCATAGATATATGATACAGAAACTGATAAAAAATTAAGGTGTTTATAGGTATCTTGAGCATCAATCTCAGAAAAAATATTATGTATAAAATTTATTTCTACTTTACTTACACCAGACAAGTTTATTCATTACCGAAAAACAAATCCAAAACGTATGTAAATAACCTTGATTGTTTAATAAATATATAAATATTTATAATCTGTTTGATTTTATGCATGCAAAACAAAAGTGTCATACCTCCACCGTCAACATCATAGTGTTGTTGTTAAGAAGTTATTGCAATAAAGAAGGCCGATCTGCAAATATTGCACTGTAATAAATATTACTTGAAGACATGCACCTTTAAAATCGTAAACAATGTGAATTTTATGGATACATATTTCAGTACATGGTGCCGTCAGAACCTACAACGTACTGGTGCAGGGGTTTTAAGATGCCACCGATTGGAAAGCACCACATGATCAAGGTAAAAATCACGAAAGTCTTGTATTAGAATGGATTCCTTTTCCTTAGCAAATTTTAAACAATGATATAATGTTTCGTATCGGTATATATACAGTACATATTCTACACCTTTCAAAATGCTTTGCATTTCGCATAGGTCCCGTTTTCTTTTCATTATTTGGCCAGGTTTGAAACCCCCTATCAAAACCAGGACAGAAGAGCTTACAATTTATTCAAAATTTTGAAAATTCGAGCCTATTTGAGGTAGCCACTTAAAATGAGATTTTTTTATTTTATGTATTCCGCAGTATGAAGCAGTTGTTACACCGGGGAATGAACTTAACGTACATCATATTTTAATATACCGGTGTAAAATTGATAATCCGGATTATTGGAACGGCAAGACCAGCATTTGTTATAACCATAATAGAACACTTCCTCATTGTTCAAGTATAGTTATCGCATGGGCGATTGGTGGAAAGGTAAGATTTTTTTGTTCCATAATTCAGTTCTGCAAATATGCTGCTTTTCATTCGTGTTAAACTTTCAGTAGGAAAACGCCTAGTTGACGAGGCTGTTTATGTTCTAGATCACGAAGACGCTCATTTGATGTTTATAGGATTGTGACAAAACGTTCCGAATCTTTGTGTGCTTTGTAACATTTAGAAGTTGTTAATACTTTTCATATTCCATGTGCTATTTTCATTTTGTTATATGAATATAATGTAATTCCACAGATTTAAAACGATTGTTATAATTATGATTTCTTCAACTTTTGTAAAGATAGCGCATCAAACGGTGATTTTTGACGTTTATTTATCTTATCTTGTGAATAAAATCAAATATGCTCTTGCCAGTTTAGATAGATTTTAATACAACTATTCTCAAAAATTCTCGGCATGTTTGTTGCATAATACCAAGTCGTGAAACAATATAAAATAATATCCTATAATTTTATGTGTATGTTTCGATCCATTCTTTTGTTTTGTACAAGTTATCCCCGTTAATTTATGACTATGTAAACTTCCAGCCATTTTATTTTCCCAATCACGTGGGTTTCTCTGTTGGGGGACCGGAAGATGAAGTATTCTACATCATGGAGACGCATTACGATAACCCCACTAGACGCTCGGATATAATTGACGACTCTGGAATCCGCATAACAATTACGCCAACCTTAAGGCAGCACGAGGCTGGAATGTTGGAGTTGGGACACAAAGTCAACTACTTCCAAATCATTCCGCCAGGCTTGAGTAACTTCGTATCAAAGTCTTATTGTACTGCCAACTGCTTGTCACGTGTAATGTATAGTTACTCTGATCTATAAAGCTATTAATGACTTGTTTATTTTTCAATTGGAACAACACCTTTTATCATTTTTAGGGGGAAAAGTTCTTTTTGATAAGTCATGATTTTGGCCTACCCTGGTCGCATATCTTAATTCAGTTGTGACCAGAAGTTTGCAGTTTAATCGTTTTAAATTAGTTCAATTTGTACTATCATATACATAGCGTAAACATTAAATGTGTAATGACCTTAGATATTGATAAAACAAAAGCATTTAGAGTATGTGTTTTTCCATCTTTAATTCGGAATAAATAAAAAATAATTAATAAAATCATTGCTTGATTTCATTGTGCATAATACATTTTTCATTGAAATTCATATTTCGTCATATTTTGTCAATTTTACGATATAGAATATTGACCCCCAAAATGGCCGCCACTTTTGTCAAGGGAGGTAAATATTGTAGTAATTCGAGAACTATCTGTACGATACTACATGTACGTTCATCGACTTGATTGGTTTCTAAAATATGGAACCTTTGAGGATAATAACTATTTAACATTCTTTTATCAGGGGTTTACAGAGAGTAACTTAACGGAGTTCAAAATCATCGGGGCTCTTCAACATTCTCATCTGCTTGGCGTTGCTATAACAACACGTCATTTCAGGAATGGCGTCGAGCTTAAACCTTTTATCACGGACCCTCACTACGATTTCGACTTCCAAGAACTCCGAATGTTGCCGAAAGAAGTACCCGTATATCCGGTAAGCTCTTATTTTGGTTGAGATTGCAATTACTTTAACACACAATAACAGTTTTATATCGAGCTATGAGATTCAGCGTACGTAGCCGAAACATACGGGAAGAGCCGTAGCATATGGGAAGAGCCGAAACATACGAGAAGAGCCGATTTTGTTCGATTGTCTGACAATAATGGAATAACTAAAACCGAGCCGCCGGTTTTCACCCGATGGACCGCTTAGTCACGTGAACGAAACAAAACGTGATGTTAACATGTGACTTTACAGGCTGTAACCCTAAGGCTACATGTATATAATAAATAAATCAGGAATAAAGAATTAATGGAAAGTTAAGATTAAATATGAGAAATCATCTTTTCCATCTGTAAATTCATTTTATAACCCGGATAATTTATTGTTGTATTGTTTTCTCTTTTCGGTCGGGTTTTATGTCGCCCCAACACAGTGTAGGTCACATGACGACTTTCCAGCTTTATTGGTGGATACACCTCTGTGTAATTTTTAAAGCTCTTGATTAGGTTAGAAAGCACCGACGTTCGGCAAGCTTGCTGGATAACTTGCTCACATGAAATAACCCAAGGGTAAGATAAAAATGCCAATAAAGTTGGACAATATATATGAAATTGAATGATTAGATAAAGGTAATAACGATCTATATTTTATTTTCAGGGAGATAGTTTCCAGGTCGACTGTACCTACGATTCGACGAGTCGCACCACACCCACCACGGTTGGTTCAATCTTCTATCTATTTCTTCTCCTTGAGCGATCGCAAATTTAATGGCATATTATGCCTCAGAAACAAATAAGTGCTTACCCCTTTAGTAAGGGCAAACAGGAATGTTATAATGCTTAAGTCTTGGTTTGAGAGAATGTTGGATGTTTGTTACATGACAAAAATAGCATAAATGTAAAACAATTTGTCGTACATTGTTAGAAGCAAATTATAAACAAAGTAGTATCTTCACTTCCATACAAAATACTTTATCTCTATTACTGTACTTATTGCCAAAAAAAAAAGAGATGAAAATATAATTCAGGTAATTGGTCAATGAGTAACCTTTTGAATACTATCGTTACAAACTTTTGAGAAATAAAAATAAAAGCATATATTTCGTGGTTAAATGGGCCTTGAATAATCACTACTAAACCATAACCTTGCTGAATGTGTTTGTAACCAAGCCAGACCTTACTTAAGATATGGCCATTTGCAACTTGAGACGTTTTGATCTAATAATTCTGACATTGAAGAGTTTCGTGTGTCGACTCTTTATCATATGTTGTTTCGATTTGATACATGTGCATGCCGTAAATGCTTTTAGTCAGTAATTATTTTTATTTGATAAACATCTACTAATCATCGCATTTCAAAATATAGATGTAGTTTTCCTTTATCTTTTAAGGGCGGTTTGTCAACGAGAGAAGAAATGTGCTTAACATTTACCTACTACTATCCGAAATTCAAGCTACAAAACTGCTTATCCCAGCCTATCTATGACAATTTCCCGTTTGATAATTCAGAGGTACAGACTTATCATATTATATAAGATATAAATTAATTGTAAATATATAAAATAGCGCTTACATGTTAATATGAGCACTTAATGTCAGATGATTTATATTGCTAATAATATAGACCAATATCAAAGATGGCGGCCAAAATTTGATGAATCATCCTTTGTATCAAAAACTCGATTATGTCGTCTTCTCACATTGCTTCCTGATTCTAAAAATACAGTAGAACATGACTTTTGGTTAAGAGCCTTGCATTTCTTTTAGTTGTATCACGAGATAAACACCGTAGATTGGCAGAACAAGACCGTAGTGGATTTCTTCCGGTCGCACATCGACAAAAGCCAGGTGAAAGAATATTGTCGCGGAGTGCATCTTAAAGTAAGTCCTAAATTGTTCACTCTTTCTTCATGATTTTACACTATAATAATACCAAACAAGTTCAAACCCGAACCAAGTTCTTATTGATCTTGTCTGACCCTTCTAATGTAATTGAACACGACACGTACTAATTCCTGTTGCCATGGTGTTTCCATGACCGAGTGATATCTGGCCAATGATTCATTTGTAACGGCTGTGTAACGACTATGAATTTGTTCATGCAAGCAAATCATCTAGCCAGCCTACGATGATTCTACATAGGTGCCCACTTATGCATGAAAAAATGTCATATGACAAAGATGGTAAGTCATAACGTAATCTCTTAAGTATTTTATGTTTTAAGCCCAAAACAAGTGCATGTATGAGTGGTGAACGCGTCGGACTAGTAATCTTAGGATCACTAGCCGTGTGGGTTCAAACCCTGTCAGGGGCAAGACGATGTCGCCTTGTACAAGAAGCTTAGTACTCATTACTTAGTAATGGTCGGTTCCAGGAACGGATTCAAAAGTGTGTCTATAACCTTATAGGTTCTTAAACAATCGGACTTTACGTAAATTCTGTATAAACTAAACTATAACCAAATACATTGTAGTTGAAAACGATTATACTTTATTTCTTTTTATTTTATGATTTTTGTTACAGCCACAAAAGTCTCGGATAATTCCGCCACCACAAACAGCACACCCATATGTTGTTCCACAACCAGACTGTTCATAATTCACGAGCAAGGACCCGGAAGATGCATATACAAATGTATTTGAATTCTACCCGGAAAATGTATATACAAAATCCAAGAACAATTCCACACACAAATAATGCATAAAAATGTGTACTTTAAAACTAAAATGTTGATAAAAATATAATATAAAAATGATTTTTACCATCATGTTTTTATTATAATGTTTTAAAAAAATAAATATTCTTGCACCTTGTAAACCATTCAGACTTATTCATGACACCCATTTGGAATCAGATCTATTTGACGGCTGCGGTGTCCTTGAGCCATTTTAAGGTTTGAGTCCCTATTCATGTAACGACTATGTTTCCTTAAATGAGATAACACTGGTAAGACTCCGGAAGCACACAGAATAACTGGTTTTACTATCAAGCTAAAATGAAAATTAGTGAACTGACTTAAAGCCATAACTTACCAGAGTCAAGATATGTTGGTGACTTTGTTTTGTGTGCTATCACGGTGCACCAATAAAATTTAGATCATATCGCGCCAAAACAGGAAAAATTATTTTGACTACCCTCTAGTGTCAACACCATGGTTCAAATCCACCTTACCTGCTGGAGCTTAGAGATGCATCGAGCCAATTTACGATAACTCAGGGATAAATGGTGGCTGCTTAGAGACAGACCCAAAGTCACAAGGCTTAAATGATCTACATTATCATAATATAATTCATCTTATCTGTATGCGTGGCCGGAATTAGAATTTTTGCTATACTTAATATTTATAGGTAAGACTAAATGTTTAATAAGAATAAGCATTATAAAATACAGTTAAACACCTCTGAAAGGTTCCAAATGATTAGAAATACACCCCATTCCTCTGCTAGTGTATACGTCAATAATACTTTGGCATTTTTTGAGACAAAGTTTTCGGAATTACAATGTACATAAATTTCCTAGAAAATTAGGGCTTCAGTTGTTTACTGGAACTTTCAGGAAAGAAACTGTTAAGAACACACACATTTATTATGTTATTTGTTAGTGTTTCATGTTTGTTTTTCAATTTGGTTGTTGATAATGGTGACGATGAGCTTGTTTGAGGGGGTGCTGTGAGCATCATTGGGTTTCTTTAAAAACAAACAGCAAACTATAATATATAATTTGATATTATTCCCATATCAAAATCCTCTTTAATGTAAAATACAAAATATTTGCAAAGACCAATATGCTATCATCTAAACACATAAAGTAATGCTAATGTGTTCGAAGTTACATGTCCATCAATCTGATCCAACTATCAGGTGCAGGTAGCCACAGGGGGTATATAAGAGTTCACCGGGTAGCTCGGGTGGTATAATTGGGGAACTGGTTGCTGAAAGAAAGTATAAATCTTTTCTTTAATTATTTTCAAAGCAAGACTTCTGTCGTTTTAAGAATTAAAATTTTATCAACTATTAACCTTATATTTATTTATGAAGACAATTATATTTTGTTTTCGTGCATAACATTACCGAAACACACTTTATGTTCAAAGTAATACAAACTCATTACAGCTGTCACTCATTTAAACGGATCATTCTTCTTTGTCTTACATTAAATCGTACATGGTAGAACTACTTTCAATCGTCTTATTTCCGAGATGATCATTAATAATTAGTTAGATGTTCCGCATGATGCATACTAAGTAATGTTTTGTAATCCGCGAAAATAACTTAAACACATATGGCAATATCACTATAACGGGGTACATGTATATGGAACGCCGTGACTGTCTTATGTGATCAATATTTTTGCTTTTTTGTGAAACGATTATATCATTTTGTCGTTTGAGCATGTGCAATTTACATCATTTCTTGTCAAAGGATCATGCTGACTTGTTGAAACAGCATGTTTACTTGTCAAATAATCATGATTACATGTGCAAACAACATGTAAACTTGTCAGAGTACAAGTAATAGAAAGAGCACCGAAACACGAGGCTATCCGATTTGTACGAGGGGGCGTAGCCCCCGAGTATTAATTAGATTGCCGAGTGTTTTGGTGTTCTTTCTCTTTTGTATCATAGTCAAACATAAAAGCACGTTCCCTGTTGTCACAATATGAAACCCCTACAAAATTGAACCAATGAACGAACATCTGAATATGACATTTCTGTCGCTTTCCCTTTCTCTGCCGTCACAATATTTAAACCCCAGCAAAAATGAGCCAATCAATGGGCATGCTCTGCAGTGCGGGTATCTAATACCCGCACTCTAGTTAACGCACTGTGCATGTATATTTATACGATATAACCCTGATGCATTTTCAACAGAAAGGTCTCCAAACTATGATACAATAATGCCTTGTGCAAACGACATGTTAACTTGTCAAAATTTTATGATGACATGTGCAAGCGGCGTGTTAACTTGTCAAATGAGCGTAATGACATTTGCGAACAGCATGTTAACTTGTCAAAGTATCATACTGACTTGTGCAAACTACATGTTAACTTGTCAAATTATCATGACGACATGTGTAGAAAACATTTTAACTTGTTAAATTATCATGATGACTCGTAATCGACAAAAAACATGTTAACTTGCCAAAGTACTATGATGACTTGTCCAAACACCATGCTAAGATGTCAAAGTATCATGACGACATGTGCAGACAGCATGTTAACTTGTCAAAATTTCAAGATGACAATTTGAACAAGTGAACATGTTGTCAGCACATGTCAATATGATAAATTAATGCTGTTTTGAACAAGTCAGCATCATCCTTTCACAAGACATGGTGTAAACTTCACGTGTTAACATGATTAAACAACAAGATAATATCATCATTTCACAAGTCTGCAATCACATTGATCACATAAGACAGTCATAGCGTTCCATAGTGTGGTGTTACCTGAAAGTGTTCCCCGCTACAGTCTTGGCGGATTCTGCTCTTGTTTATTTTTGATAATGCCCAGTCAACAGAGGTTTTATTAGTCCAGTCTAGCATGGAAAGCTCGTGGTACAACTGAAAAATGCCAACTCACTTTTTAAAATTGATAGATATTAAGCTCTAAATGATAGAGCTGATAAAAATGATATAAGGTATCTGTTCCTAAAAGAATAATATAAATCTAAATTAGTATGAAAAGGATCTGTTTCATTTACACTTTTTATGAAATAACCTACTATGATGTCATTTAGTGCGCCTGTTCATGGAAATGATTAAATGTGATTTCATGCAATTAAATAAAAAAGAATGCGCCTTGTCAAAGGAAGCGAACAATTATTTGTCACGCAGTACAACAATTTCCATGTTTTCATGACGTCATTTTATCTAAAGTTGTTGTCGTCACATTCAACAAATTAGCTGAGCTAAACAACAGAGCAAGTTTAATCAGCAAATAAGACATTGTGTGTCAAATAACGAATACAACTTGTATTTATTCTACCGATTCATGAAATTGCTTTATCATTGCAAGACGACGACGAAGACGTACTACTAGCACTAGCACTATCACGACTACGACGACGACGACGACTACGGCGACGACGACGACTACGGCGACGACGACGACTACGGCGACGACGACGACTGCAACTACGACTACACTAACAACAACAACTGCTACTACTACTTCTTCGACTACGACGGCTACGACTACGACTACTACTACTACGACTACTACGACTACGACTTCTACTACGACTACGACGACGACAACTACGACGACGACTACGACGACAACTACTTCAACGATGATTTCTTACACGACTAGTATGACTTCTACTACTACGATTACTACTTCTACAACTAGTATGACTGCTACTACTACGACAACGATTACGATGACTACAACTTCGACGACTACTACGGCGACTACTACTACAACGACAACAAAAACAACGTTTTAAATAAGTTTCTTACATTTTGTCGATCAGTCGAAAAAGCATCAAGGGTAGGTTCAGATTTACAAGATTCCAGTTTTATTTTAGGGTAATAATAGGCAAAGGTTAGGCACATTTCTTCCCTGGTTGATAAACCACCCTGAGAAAAAAAAAACAAAAAGATGATTATACATTTGTATTCTAAATAAAAAACTTGAAAGTGATTAGCATTTACCACCAGTAAATCGCCAAATCAGCCTTCACATCCATGCACAGGTATCCTTATGCTGTTGGTAGCTAAATTATTATTATTTTTTATAATCAGGTTATTTAACACATTAACTATTTCATGTAACAAGGGTTGATTTTTAGAAAGTGCTATAAAATGAGCCTGCTTTAGGCTTCACAATAGATCTTAGACAAGTATTATGTTTGCCGGCAAAAATGATATTAAATTAAGGATTTATTTAAAAATATGGTTGCAAAATATATTAAAATATGTGATACGAAGAACCTTTTCTATTGGAAATATGCGACGTCATGTGATAGAAGTGGTTATATCACAGCTTGTTCTTATTTATGTAAGGAAAATGTTTATACATTTTACCAAAATGGACATATATAAAATGAACATAATGTACCAACTAAACTTACAAGTGTAACCCCTGATCTAGTGGTGGAATCGTAGGTACAGTCTACCCGGAAACTATCACCCTGCACAACAATACAAGTTACTTTAATAATAAAAAAAATTATAATCATAATGATTTTTTTTTAATATTATTATTATTATTATTATTGTTATTATCATTATCAATCTCATTATTATTATCATAAAAAGATAATAAATGTAATATGACTAATAATAATATAATTATAATGATAAAACAATAAGAGTAATTATAAAGACTTTTTAAAGAGGCATCACAGTTAGGCAAGCCTTGTCTTCACTCCTTTATTAGGTTTATCTGTGTTATAACTCGCATTTGTCCATTTATTCTACTTCATTACAAACTAACAAATTTTTCCTATATAACATTTAAATTCCATTACTATTTATATACCGGACATAACATTAATAAAATAAAAATTTGTATATATCAATACTACCTCATCACTGAGAAACTCTTAACGTTTTAATATATATTTTAAAGAGCATTGTTTGTCTTTAAAGTACATTCATTAACGATGAATTATAGAAATTCTTACAAAAGAAGTGTAAATTGATATTTTTGCGTTCAAGATAGGTTAATTAAAATTTATTTTACTTTTGTTGGTTAGGAAGCTATAAGCTTACAGAAACACTCTACTCCTGAATGCGTTCTAAAATCCACCAGTACTGAGCAATAAGCGTAAAGTTGTTTTGCTCAAGGAAACAACGGCTTGTCCCTT